CTGAGACAGGAGCCCGTGGGGCCAGCAGTGTTCACGGGACAGACGGCAGAACAGTTACAGAGGCCATGAGCAGCTTCCTGGTCCATGCCAGCAGGCGTGGGAAACAACGCTGGTGTGTGAAGGGCCTCCGGGTGGCTGAGAAAGCCAGAGCCTCCCTCCAACCTGCTGGGATCTACTCCTCGTGGCCCCTCCTGGGGTTTTCAACAGCTGCTGAGGAGTCAGGGAGGATGAGCTCCTGGCGGACGAGGCGGTGCTGAGCGGGGGCAGCCAGCCAGCTGGAGAGGAGTGGCTCAGAGCAGGGCTCAGAGCGGGTTGCTACCTCGAGCCAAGGTTTGGACAGGGTCTGAACCCCTGCAGCCTCTCCTACACATTTATGGAAATTCTGCGACCTCCACATTCCCCCCACCTCCTGTCACAGGTGAAGTTACACTCCTCTGATACTGCCTCAGGGGAGGATTTTGCTCGGCGGCTGTCACTCCGGAACCTCCTCTGTTTTTGAGGTTTACCCAACTGCAGACTGTCTGTTCCCCCGGCCAAGGTTTCCTGATCGGCTCTGGGGTGATCCTGAAGGCCATTTTCCAACCACGCCGGGCCCAGACATGCAGCGAGGTCCTCAGTCATCCATCAGCTCCCACGTGAGAGCTCCTCTTGACAACGCGATGGGGCCCTCGTGGGGGCGCGCAGACGCCAGGCCGGCTCCTCCCTAACCGCCCGCCATCCCCCACTTCTCCTCCACAGGCGAGAGCACGCAGGTGCCGATTCAGCCCAATTACCACCACAGGCCTTTCGGCGCTCTGCCCAGCTCAGCCCAGCTTCTCCACGCGCATGTTTGGGGAAGTGCATTTCCCCGCCGTTGCTCCCTCTCGTACCAACAGGTCCGGTGACCCGATGAAGATGCTGGAGTCTGACCCTGCTTCTGAACAGAAGCCACATCCAGCAGCACATGGGACACCCAAGACGCCGAGTTCTCCTCACGGTCTGCGCCTGCGCAGAAGACAGCACCAAGGACCTGCTCCTCGGACCTGCACTTTTCGGCACTGCACACAGAGGGGACTCAAGAAATGCTGAGAGGCAAACCGTCTGTTGAGGCAGGCCCAGGAGGGGCGGGGCGGCTGGAGAGACAGAGGTCATTGGGCAGGGGCAGGAAGGGAGTATGGCAAGGTGTCAGGGAGCCTAGCAGGAGCTGAACGTCGTAGGGAAACAGGGCAGGAAGTGCCCAGCAGCATAGCCTGGGGAAGCCCGGCCAGAGACGAAGGGTCTACCCCCTGCAGCGTGCCCCCCATTTGCTCCAAACCATACAACCTGGGGAGCGTCTTGGGTTCAGGCCCCTCGAACGATAAAGGAGAAGCAGTGGGTCATAGTGCTAGGTGAACAGTGCAGTCAGGCTGGTCATACCAATATCTGGCTGACAAAGGACACCATATGACTGGGCATTTTCCAAGGGGGGTTGTGAAACAATTAGAGCAGGGCGTATGGACAAGGAGCAGCGGGAGAACCTTCTGAGGGACAGGCTGGGAGAGGCAAAGGGGGAAGGCCAATGAGAGAATGCTGAACAGACTGCACGTACATACGGATTCCACCCTGGACAGCCATGCCCTCTCCACTCTCATGGCAACGGGCTACCTTCCTTCAGAAAGTGGAAGGGCCCTGCAACCGGCTTGACTGTCAGGATTGGGTCCAGCGGGTCTAGGGTCAACATATGTCCTAGAATCCCTGTTGCCAGCCTCGGGGCCTCCTGTAGACCCCATTCCAACCCCTGATCCCCTGATCTTGTTTCTGCCCACCAAATCCTACTCCCACCACCCAGACAACGGACCTCCCATCACACTTACAGACTTTATGCTTATAAAGCCTTGCAAGAGCTGGGGAAACGCAGCCCAAAGGAGAAGCCCAGGAAGGGGGGACGGGACAGTACCAAGACGGAGAATAGTCAGTGACCTCTCAGTGATAAGTACATGGTGCTTTCTATTGTCTTCTCTGTATTGTTAGCTCCTAATTTTCTTTTCTTTTTTTTAAAAATATTTTATTTATTCATTTGAGGGACAGGGGGAGAGAGCACACAAGCAGGGGGAAGGGCAGAGGGAGAAGGAGAAGCAGGCTCCCCGCTGAGCAAGGAGCCTGATGCGGGGCTTGATCCCAGGACTCTGGGATCATGAACTGAGCCGAAAGCAGAAGCTTAACGACTGAGCCACCAAGGTGCCCCTGTTAGCTCCTAATTTTCTATAAAGAACACACATCCTCTGTAGAATAAAAAAGGTTGAAAACTAATTACATTCTTCTAGGATCTGATTTTAGCCCTTCTACCTTCGTGATGTCTTTTCTGACTTACCCAACCCAGGATAATCCTTCTTATTCTGAATTATTAGGATCAGAATTTCAAAGGCATAGCCTGACACATTCAACAGGTCAATGTCTCTTCACCCTAACTTCTCTCTCTTGCCATCTACTCCAGGGCCCCCAATTTTGAGTCCCAAGTGCGAAAATAATGAGTCCTAGCTGGCTGCTGGCTCCATTCCCCATTGATCCCCATTTGGTGTCCAAGGACAAACTCAGGACTCTTGTGAAGACCCACCTCCACGCAAGGAAGTGAAGAAACTAAACCGTGTGCATGGTTGGTGGAAAGGCAAAAAGGCGAGTTGCTAGGGAAAACACTGTGGGCTTCCTTAAAAAATTAAAAACTAGGAGTATATGCCATACGATGTAGCAATTTCACTTCTACACATTTATGGAAAGAACTGAAAGCAGGGACTCAAGGAGGAATTTGCACACCCATGTTCACAGCAGCATCATTCACAACAGCCAAAGGTGGTGGCCGCCCAAGTGTCTATCTGCAGGTGAATGGATAAACAAGGTGTGCCATACACACACCACGGAGTACTATTCAGCCTGAAAAAGGAAGGAAATCCCGGCCCACGCTACAACATGGACGAACCTTGGGTACATTGTGCTGAGTGAAATAAGCCCTGGAGGGCTTAAGAACAAGTACTGCATGATTCCACTTACATGAGGTACCTGGAATAGTCAAATTCACAGGCACAACATGGAATGGCAGTCGCCAGGGGCCGGGGGAGGAGAGGAATGGGGAGCTATTGTTTAATAGGTACAGAATTTCGGTTTTGCAAGATGAGAAAAAGTTCTGGAGATGGATGGGGGTGGTGGTTGCACAATAGTATGAAAGGTTAAAATGGCCAATTTTATGCTATGTATATTTTACAACAAGTAAGATAGTTGATTAAAGAGCAAAGCCCCAACCCCAGTGGCTTCCCCAGGGGGACCAGCTGGGTTATGAGGTTCCCACGGCACCGGGCCCAGCCCGACCTCACTGCTGAGGGCTAGACAGTCCCTAGGGGGCAAGCATGGAATCTTTTCTATCTACTCCTAGTCATACCTGGCAAAGAGTGGCAGCACAATAAATGTGGAATGACTGAGATAGTAATATAAAGGCCACTTGTGTCTATAATTGGTATAGCGTAGAGCTCAGAATACTTTTCTTAATATCAGGTTGGAGACAGGAATGCTAGGTTTACGGACCATCTCTTATGTGGTCGGTTGTCGGGAATACGACTGGAGGTAAACATTTTTCCTCTCTGCCCACAGGGTGCACAATCCACCCACAGGTATCTGAACATCGAGGACGCTGTCGCGAGGCCATTATAATTCATAGCCATGCCTCAGCTGAGCCAGACACCAGAACGACCTGGGGAACACAGCCAAGTCCTTGACGGAGACGGGAGAGGAGATGATAACCTTAAAAGGGGGAGGTTCGGGAGAGGTCGGGGAGAGAAGGGAAAGGAGAGGGAAGGAAGGAGGAGGGGGAACCCTCCCCAGACCCCTCCAGACCCCCACTGTGCAGGGATGGCTGTTACCTCATTTCCACCCCTGGATTAGCAGCTCTTCAGCCAGACCCCTGAGAACGAGGCTGTGATTTGAGCCAATGAGCCAAGACCCCCCGCACTCTATCATGAACCCCTCCCAGGGTCCAAACAGAGGAGGCCAGGTGAGGACCAGCACCCCCTGGAGGAGTTGGCTCTCTGGCCCTCCCCACCATCTACAACCTTTAAAAGCTAAGGGCTCTAGCGTGAGGACAGGTCATTCAGGCATCGAGCTGTCTCACTCAGTATGGACCCACATGACAGTGGTGTATCCTTCAGTACCCTCTCAGGCTCAGATGTCCCCTGCCCCCTGAAACCTTTGGGGTATTGGTTACCTGACCTTGACTCTTACCTCGTACTCTGCTCCACCTCCAGAGGGCAAAGAGTCTGCAACTACCTCTTGGGTGGGGGGTCTGGCAGGGGCCTTCCATACTCTACCTCATCTACCCTCCCAGCACCCCTGCAAGGAGTGAGTCCTAGGGCCCCTCTTACAGGCTCTGTTCCTTTGTGGCTTTTATCATAACAGAATAACTGAGTGGTAAGTTTTGTAACATCTATAGATACCCCTAAAAATGCAAAGTCCTACCCCCATTCCTCATGTGATACATTCCCAACTTACTAATTGAGCCACGGTTTACTGTAGGTCTTCCTGTACAGAAAGTGAGCTTCCCAATATCAGAGACAGTGTCCCTCTTAATTCCCATTGCAATCCCTGCCTCTATAGCTAAGTGTCCCACCAGTGGAAGCAGAGAAAAACATCCACTGAACGGATGAGCCAGGGGACATCACTATTCCCATGTTATAGATGAGGAACCTGAGGCTCAGGTTAGGTGACTTGCCCGAGTTCCCACAGCTAGTAAGGGGCAGAGAGGGGTGTGACCCAGGCTGCTCAACACAGACACTCATCTTACTCCGCAAGGGTGACGTCTTGGCAAGGGTCACCTGGTGTCAGCTGGGTTCTGGCATCATCTGTATGTTTACTGTACCCGCGGGGATATGCTATGTGCCTCTAGGTCTGCCCCCTTCCTCCAGCCTCAATGTCCCTCCTCCCAGGCAGAGCTGCCTCTGCTGGCATGTGCTGGAGGCCTTTGTTCCCGGAATGGGGACAGCACAGCCCCACTCTGGCCCTCACACTGCCGGCTGCAGGAGAGGCAGGTATCTGGGGGGAGAGGACAGGGAGGAGGGCCCTCAAGCCACAGGCTGGACCCCCAGCCATGGGCCCCAGGCCCCAGCTAACCCGTCCCACCAGAAGGGCTAAAACATCTCCAGCTGTCACTGTGTGTCAGACAGGAGAGGCTGGGGGCCCCAGGGGGGTCTCCAAGGGTTCCTGGGCCTCTGGCCCACCTCAACGCCTTGCCAGCGGTGGCTCAGCCCCACAGCATCCGACAGGCTCCTGGCGGGTCCCAGGGGGCAACTCTTCTGTTGGGGGCCAGGAGAAGGTGAGGCCACAGAGAGCAGTGGGGTTCCACTGTCACCCCTCCCTGCCCCGGCCAAACTCTCCCCACCCATTAGTCTCTTCCCCTTCCGCAGATCCAGGTCCAGTCTGTCACACCACAGGGTTGATTTATTTTTCTTGTGGCCTTGCTCTCGGAGGGGGCTAGAGAGCGGCATGTCATCACCCTCTCTAAATATTATAACTCCGCAGAGAATTGACAAACGTGACTCATCACCCTTCCACTCTCCAGCTAGAGAATCCCCAGGCCTTGCTTTGTTGATAGGAGTGTGATAATCATCACAATAATAGCAGTAACAACGATAATCACTGCTCCCAGTTACGGAACACGTGGCCAGTGCCAGACACCATGCTAAGCGCTTCCCTCACACGTTTTCATCCTCTCTTTGCAACTCTGCTAAGTACGGGAGAGGAGGAGACTGAGTTCAGAGTATCAAGGCCTATCACTCGCCCTGCTCACATAGCCAGGGGACAGCAGAGCCCGGCTGACACGGGGGCGCTGCCTAACCCCGGGCCCCAGGCCTAATCACTGCACCACGAGCCCGGCCCCAGAGTGCATCTCTACACTGTGATGTCATCCCTCCACCTACTACTCAGTCACCCAAGTCAAAGGTTCAACCCAAACCAGAGACTAAGCCTGCAATGTGTTTCCATCAAGATCTGCAGCCAGGGCTGCTAACAGAACAGGGACCGGGCCCCCGCGGGCTATTTGCATATGATTGCTTGTGGCTGGCCTCTGATGTGTGCCAGCCACCACCAGCCTGGTGATTTCAGAGTCAGAATTATGTCTGTCTCTATGAAAAGGGTAACATCTTGATTCTTCTCTCCTTTTATCAGCTGCCATTGATCTTAGCACATCCGAAAACAGAAATACCCCCATTGTGGCTGGGAGTCTAGTTCTTGCCACGTGCACACTCGGGCCACTCTGTGATTAGGGTACTGTTCTTTTAGTTACCCAAAGTCACAGCCTCTGTGGGAGTGGAAGGGTGAGGGGACATCACCCCAAGAGCAGGTCACTCCTTGTGGTAGCCGAAGAGGCCTGAGTCAGCCCCTCTGATCAGACTCCCTTGCTGGAGGGCTGAGGGCCCAAAGCAATGGAGGGGCAGGAGACGGAGGGGTGAGAGGCGCTGGGCAAAGATGCAGAGATGGCCAGATGTGTTAGCCCAGCCAGGCTGAGAACCTATGCCTTGCGTGCCAAGCTGTTTCTGAGCTGTGAATTTTCTGCCTCCCCTTTGTGTTCGACTTCATACTTTAGTGGAGTCCACCATAAGCTCTGCTGAGCTGAGAACAATCAAGGAAAGCACCTTTTGCCCACGTTGTGTTTGGAACAACGCCAGGGCCGGTGAGGCGGTGAAGACAGGACCAAGAGAGAAAATCCCAGAAAGGGGGAGCTCAGGGGTTCATATGTGTTGGAACCACTTGGCTCCCACCTGAGCTTTGGGCCTCTGGGATGTGTTCTAACAGGGAAGGCTATTTCTTTGTGTGTCCTAGAGTCCCCCAGATTTCAGGGGTGGCTATCAGACAGGAAAGGCCCTGGTGGGTCCACAGTGTCTGTCTCTCTCTCTTTTTCTCTCTCTCTCTCTCTCTCTCTAGAAGACAAACCTCTCTCCTCCCTCTCTTCAGAGTCTCCCCTTGGCTTGGGGGCTTCCTGAGACTCCTTCCCACAATTCCTCATATATACTCCTTTCTCCTGGGCATATAAAAAACGGCTAGTAAGACTAGGTAACAACTCTGCTACGAAAAAGCTTTCTGAGGGCAACTGTCCCACTTAACCAGCTCTAGGATCTTAGACACATTAATCTCTGTGCCTCAGTTTCCTATAAAATGGAGATAATAGTACTATCGACCTCTTACATGTATTCTGAAGACTCAGTGAACTTATGAAAGTATTCAGAATAGCGGTGGGTCAAAGAAGGCACTATATGAGCATAACTATTGTTGTGAGCAATTATTCCACCTCGTGGGGGCAGAGACGGGTGTGAGAATTTGGGAACCAACACGTCAGCGCGACCTACCCAGTCCCGGGCCCTGCTTCCCTCTCTGAGCTCGGCTCGGCTCCTGAGCAGGCCCGGGGGCTCGGCCGGCGGGCAGCCTTCTTCCCGCCGCTGGCAACACTCTCCCTGCCTGACAGTGGAGCATGCGTGGGCTTCAGGGGGATTGGGGTACCCCAAAAACTGAGGACAAAAGTGTTGTTCAGGTAACCTTTTTCTCCCAAAGGCTTAGAGTCTATTTTGGACAGGACACACGGGCAGAACCAACAGTCTTGGATTCCGGGACACACTTGGGGACTGGGCAATTCTGCCTAAATTCTGACGGTTTCTACAAGAAAACACAGTGCCCTCCCTCCCCACCCCCATGGCCATCAGCCTTGCCTTGAGTGGATGTATATTAGTGTGTGTGTGTACGTGCATGCACCATAATTTATATCATTCCACTTAATCCCTTTATGAAAATTCAGCCCAAGCCTCCAAAGGGTTCCCTCTCCACCGGCCTTAGAAGATTCGTGGGTCCTAGGAAAACCTGGCCAGGGAGAAAGTCATTCTCTCGAAGGCACACACAGCAGCTCCCTTTCTGGGCATATGGGAGGATTACTGGGCTCTCTGGGAGCCGTGCTGGACGAAGGCCTCTACATCGCTCCACGTCCCCATGGAGCTCCTAAGCAGATTTTGCACTCTATTAGGCTACATCTGTTTGCACATCCCTGCTGTCAGCAGCTTCTGTCTAGAGAAATGGCAAATGTGCAGTAAAAGGGGAATGGGCTTTGGGGCAGGCCGACCAGGATGCACCCCAGCTTTACCGCTCCTGGCTGAGTAACCCTGGACGAGGGTCTTAGCCATTCTGAGCTCAATCTCTAAACAAGGGATGCTGATAAGGGTGCCCCCCTTGCAGTGTGGTCAGGAGGACTGACAACAAGGTAGGTAATGCCTAGTGCAGTGCCTAGCACACACTGGCTTAGAAGGCATGGAAGCTGCTAGATGATGATGAAGATTGAGATGATGATAGCGACATGTGGGTCCCCAGTCTGCTTTCTGTCTCCCTTGCTAGGCTAGGAGTTTCCCCGACAGCTGGTGCTATTGCTTTCTCCTTTCTCCTCCTTCCTTCTCTAGCTTTTCCCTGGGGCCTCCCCTCCCATCCCTCGATAATAATTCACTTCACCAACCTCGAGGGTGCCATGCAGCCGGGGTGCCCTAGACAACACCCACCCCAAAGCCACAGGCCACCCTGTCAGGCTGTGCTCCCTTGGGAGGGAGCAAGGCGGGGGGGATTGTCGTCTCCCTGGGGGATCAGTCCTCCCTCCCACCCTGCCGTCGCCCCCCAGCCTCACTCCTACCTCACGTTGTCATGTTTCTGGATGTAAATCTTATGGAACATCATATCCTCCTGCTTGGCATTGATGTCTGCTTTCATCTCCATGGCAACATGACGGGGGAGGACAGACAGCAGGAGCCGCTCCTGGGGAGGGAAGCACATACTTTCATCACAGCTCCCTCCACCTGCCTGGCGGTCCCCCTTCCCTCCCCACGCCGACTTCTCCGCACCTGGGCTCCCCACCTACAGGGCCCTGGGGAACCCCACAGGCTGGCTTGAAATTCGAGGAGCTAACACTTATGTGAGGGTGGGGCTAGCATCATGCCCCCAGGGCTACTTGAACCCTTCTTCCTGGGAGACCGCCCGGGTTGTCTGTGCACATACCTGGGGAAGAGCACACCTGGTGAACCTATAGTACTAAGCCCCCTGGAATCCTGGATGTCACCTGAGACCATGTGTGACCACGGGCAAATGACTGAACCTCTCTGAGCCTCAGCATCCTCCTCTCTAAATAGCGATGGAGCTGTTGAGAGCATTACGTGAGATTCACTCAATTAGTCACCAAATATGTACTGAGCACCTACCATGTTCTGGGCATCATGCTGGGGGCCCCGAGTTACAACTGTGGGACAGGCAAGGTTTCTCCTTCACAAAGCTCCCAGTCTCGTAGGGGTACAGGGTACGACAGGGCACTGCACAGGGGTGCCTGACCTCGGCTGGGGAGAATGGTGTGGTCAGGGAGGGCTTCATGGGGACCAGAAGGATGAGGTTGGGGGTGCTCCATTTCCACGTAGGGGACAGGAGCCCAGAGAAAGGGAAAGCACACGGACTCTGAGAACCCAAGAGAAGCGACGACCTGTTGAAGAGGAGGTGGGAGAGAAGCAAGGAGAGGCGCCAGGGCTGCGCTGTGGAGGGGAGGGCCCTGACTTTGCCTCCCTTCCGCCTTCTTCCCCCGGGCCGGCCTGCTGCAAGAGGTCCAGCTGCGTCAGGAATGGGCAACCTTGCCCTGTGCCCTGACAGCCCACTACCCACACGAGGCGCTCTGCCAGGCTGGCTCACGGACTTCTCCCACGTGGGGTGGCTTCACCTGGCTGGCCCAACCCTCCTCATTCTCCCTTCACTCGCCCGCTAGATGCTGGGCCATCACCCATGCGGCCGTAAGACTCTGCTCCTGCATCTTTCTGGGTTCTCTCCCTCCTCCTGTGCGCCACACGGCACATCCCCACGTGTCTCCTCTTTCTGCTCACTCTCGCCCCTGTGAGCGTGGTTCCCACCAGCACCTCTGCCCATCACCTCCTACCCCCTAGCCCTTGCCCAGGCTCCCGAGTCTCCAGCTGCCCCCTGGATGACTGGCCACTACCGCCTTGACACCACACCCCAAAACATGCTCACCTTCCCAGGTTTCCATTCCCCAGTGGCTCTTCAAGTTCCCTGCTTTGGCCCATGTCAGCCCCATTCTCCTGGTCCAAGGTCAACACCCCGCCCTTGTAACTGCTTTTACTCTTCGGAACCTCCCCTCTGAGATTCATCCCTGTCCCCTCGGCCCCAGGCCCTGTCCAGCTCTGACCAAGTTCTGTGGATGCGGACTCTCGTCCTTCCTGTTCCATGTCCACCTCCGCTGCCTGGACAAAGTTCTCACCCGACTGTGGGATTCTGGCCGTGCCGTCCCAGCCAGACAACCCCTCCTCAGCCCTCCTGGCTCCCTGTATGGCCCCAATCTCTCCAGGACATTGCCTTTGTCATGATACTCCCTGGCTCAAAGGCCGCCAAAGCTTCCCTGGGTTCCACCAGCCACAACAAATGTGCATTCTTCTGGACCCGGTGAGCCCACGCCTCTTTATTTTCCACTACAACCCCATTCTACCCGCCCCCTTCCCATGCCTGGCCTGCTCCTGCCAACCCGGGCCTGGCTGCCATCCTTATCCTTCTGAAGCCCCTGTGTCCCAGCCTGCTGTCTCTGATCCACCTTCCACACGGCAAGCCAGTGAGTGATCTTTCTAAAACATACACCTGACCCCGTCGCTGCCCTGCCTAAAACCCTCCTATGCTTCCCGAAGCTTCCAGAACCAGCCCACAAGCCCAGCCTGGCCTCAAGATTTCCACGATCTGGCTGCCCGCTACCCCTCCCTGCGCCCAGCATGCCCTGAGCTCTGTTCCAGATACAGTGAACCGTGGGACACTTCCCAAGCTCCTGGCAGTGTTTCTTTGCCTTCGCACACAAGCTCCCCAGCTAGAAGCCCCATCCTCACATGCTGCCGGAACCCTCCTTCAGGGCTCCCCCCTTCCCGGGGGTAGGGTCCTGGCTCTGGCAGTGGCATCGCCTCACCCCTCAGGGCCTTCCTTCCGAGTCCTTGATCACTCGGCGTGTCGTGGTCTGTTAACAGGGTCTCCCTGTAGTGCGTGCAGTGAGACCCCCGAGGACGGAACTGTGTCATGCTCAGCTCCCCAGCTGACAGCCTCGGGCCTGGAAGACACTGCTAATCCACTGAAAGTGCTCTCCGTGGGTTAGCTCGGTCTCCCTGAGCATCCGTGGACATGGCCTTCAATGGCTATTTACTGAATTCTCAGTAAGCAGTTCTTGGTGACAGAAACACAAACTAAAATACAATTCTGTGGAAATACAGCACAGCTGGGGGAAAGTGCGCTATATATGGTTATATCCATGAGAGACCTTCCCATATTTATAACCACTTCTGGGGCTGAGGGTCAGAAGTGTGGGTGCGGATGGCTGGAGAACAGTTCTGAGTCCCACCATCAGGGGGCACCTCGGAGTGCCCCCCCAAGGACCCAAGAGCAGCACCTTCTGCAGAGGGCAGGGGAGGCCCAAGAGCTACTGGGAGCCTTTCCCCAGGAAGCACGCCTCCCCTCCCTGCTATCTTGGCTCAGAACATGGTAAAGCAAATGGATTTTCTCCCCGAAATCCCTGTGGGTTTGCTGGAATGTCCAGCCTGTCCAGGCCAGTGCAAGTAAACTGTAATGAGCTGTAAAATACACATTTTACTGGAGAAGGAACAAGGCCCCCGAGTGACAGGGGATACTCCCTGACACAAAAAGGGAAGGACAGTATCCCGATCTCAGGGGAGAGATGCCAGGGCCTGAACTGGGACGAGAGACGGGGCTCCTGAGGCATGGAGGGGCTTAGAGTAGGGTGCAGAAGGGCGCCAACCTTGTCAGAAAGACAGTGGGAGGACTAGGGGACACCGCTGAGTATGGGGTTCGCTCAAGAGCGAGACCAGGAGTTCAGACAGGGCCAAAAGAATGCCTAGGGCAAGCCAGGCCTCCGACTGGACAGCATGAGCTGGGGACCTGGCCAGACACAAGGGCCACAGCAGCAGGGCTGGGCAGGAAGCAGGGATAGGCCAGGCGGCGACTGGGCCGGGAGGGGGTGTGCGGTGCTGGAGACACTGCAGAGCCTCACCCCCTTGCTCAGCCATCCCGACATGGCCAACCCATGTCATGTAACTCCTCAGGAGGCATCCAGATGGAGTCAGAGACCCTCTCACGTGTGGTCAGACTGCTGTGCACTTGGGGTGTCCACAGCATGCAGTCTGGGCAAGCGAGGAGGGTGCAGGGGACTAGCGCTGGCTAGGCCTTTGTCTTCCTTGTCCCCAAGCTCAAAGGCAGCAGGACTCCACTCATGTTTGTTGGGTAGGCGTGAACATAAGAGGAGAGGAGAACCTGCTTTGGAGTAACTTCATCCCTAAGAGCCACACCTAGTCCAAGTTGAGTAGGGGCCCCGTCACCCTGCTGACCTGTCCACACTCTCCCCTGGGGTCACACAGCCCCATCTCTGGGGCTCCTATCCGTGAGCTATTCAGCTCCAGCCTGTGCCAGAGGCCCCAGACCTCATCTGGTTCACACACAGGAGAGGGCACAATGGTCCTGAACCCCAAACAGGATGCCGGGCAGCCAGGGAGGGAACCCTGACACAGCCCTCCGTCCTTTCCCTGCCCCCACCCATGAGAGCACACGGGGGGCAGCTCCCTCTGCCCCAGCGCTCCCTACGAGAAACACTCTGAGTCTGTGCCCCTGTGAATGGCTTACTTCCCTGCCCAAACGTTCTCTGAGAGTGAGGTTTAGGGTGAGACAGGACCATCAGCCTTTCTCTGAACCCAATCAAACCCCAGAACTCGGCACAGGGAAAGTGCCTAGTGGGGGTGTCCCAGGGGTCGACAGCTCTACCTCTTCTCCTCTCTCCTGGGGAGCACCTTAATCCCAGATGGGAATGCTGAAGCTCTCGCCACTCCAACTCATCAGCACTGGGGAGGGGGGAGGGCCCTCCCTGGTGCCCAGGGTCGGGGTTGTGTGGCTTGTTTGCAGCCCACAGGCGAACACTGAGGAGGCAAGAGGCAAGCGCTGGGGTAGAACTTTCTCCAAAGTCTCCAGAGAGCATTCCCACAGAGCCAGAAATGCTAGGCTCCCTCCAGGGAAAACATTCCCTTCTGGCTGGGTCCCTGCCCAGGGAGGTGGGGCTGGGCAGCTACAAGGGGCACAGTTGGGGGGGTGGCAGGTAGCTGGGCTGAGGCTAGTCTGGAGCCTCTGCTCCTTGTAGCCATGCAAGGGCAGGAGGGCCTCACTCACCTGTTGCTGGTTCTCCCGTTGTGAGTGGAGTCGTGCCTGGATGCACTCCCGGGTCTCCTGGAAGGCCTGTCTCTGGGAGACCTCAGCTGGGTAGTGGGTGCAGACACCCACGATGTTGGTGCAGGAGAAAATGAGGACATTGGAGACAAGCTGCAGAGGGACAGATGAAGACACGGAGCTCAGGCCCGGAGTGGGCACCAGTCACTGGAGCCCCAACCCTGGCCCCTGGAGCCCCCAGCCCCCGGGTTAACACACATACACCCACCTGCAAGCAAACCAATGCCAAGGACACCCGCCCCTGGCTGGCCACAGGGAGTAGCCAAGCATAATAGGTCAGTCTCTCGGACGTCCTTGAAGCCCAGAGCTTGGCAGGTCTATGACAGGTTGTGGCCCTACGGAACTGAGTCTCTGAATAATCATACTGTGCATGCCCATGGCCCCAGAGATGAAAAGATCCGGCATACGGTGAGGCTGTGAGGGAGCTGTGTACATGTTGGGGATGGCAGGGGCATGGCAAGGAAGGTTCCATAAGGGTCACAGGATTTCATTTTTTGAAAGTGTGATAGAGTCCAGCATAGGACTAAAGGCTGCCCTTTTGCAGAGAGGCCTGAGATGATTATTTTTATATTAGCTTATTATTCCCCAGGATCAACTGCAAAGAAGCAAGCAGTTGCTGGCTACCCATGAGATAGCCAGCATTGTGCCGAGTCCCCTGAGGACTGAGAGAAGGATAAGGTCCCTGGCCAGCAGGGGTCAGTGTCAACAGCGGGTCCCCGCTCCTCTTCCTGGACTTCCATTCCTTCTCTGCACCAGCACCGAAGTCCCCCTGACAAGTCCGGCATACCAGCTGGTGAGTAGCCACTGTCGCCCTCTGCTCCGCACTCACGCCCTTCTCCATGCCGACAGAGATGTGTGTGTGGAAAAATACTACTGTCTCTCAGGGCGCAGAGAGAAGGCTGGAATTCTTTGGAAAGGAGTATTTACTGAAAAGCTAAGGGAAAACAGAACACAACACTACACACCCCACAAAAGCAAGTTTACACGGCACATCTCATATCCTGGCCAAGGAGCTGTTGAGACCAACTTTTTCTTGGCAGGTGCAGCTCCTGGGATATCTGGGTAAACTGACACTAGTCCTGCCCTTGCCTCAGGCCACACAGAACAGAAGACACGCAAAGATGTACAGGCTTCTAGGACTCCATCACTCCCTCCCAAAACTTAGTTCTTAGTCTCAAAGACAGAAGGGAACCCCGATTGACCCCCGGCACCTTCTGCTGTAGCTCCTGAAGCCTTCTGAGACTTCAGCACCTGGCAGTGACCTGGCAGACAGCCCCACACACTCTTCTTCCAGGGGCCTCTTTGTCTCTGGAACCTAGAGACTCTGCATTCAGGTCTGTGTTCCACCTGAAGGCCTTCCCCACCCTGGTATGACCTCCACCCAGGGTCCTCAGCCAGCCTAGGCCTGGAGGCCATGTGGGCCCCATGCTGGATGTGGTGCCATGCTTCCCCGGAGATATCCTATACCGTGACTGTCCCAATCCATGAACAGAAAGAGACTTTGTCTTTCCCATCCCAAAGTCCTGCTCTCTCCTTGGTTGCACAATAAATTCTGGTTTCCTGGCCAAAGGACACTGTGAGCTCCCCTCAAGCACCTCCAGGATACCTTCCAGATGCTTCCTGGATGTGCCTCCAGGGAAGGGGCAAACTCAGATTACCAGCTCCACCAACTCTAATGATGACTCATAACTCCCCCAAACCTCACTCCAACCCCATCCACCTCAGAATTGTCATTTCATGTAAAAACATGGCAGAGAAAAACACAACCTACTCATCATAAGGAAAGAAAACCCCTGCTGTACCAAGCTTACAATCCAGGTGAAGAGATAAGTGGTCAAGACTGACAGAGAACCAGCAATACGAAGCAGAAACAGCCTCACGCCAACCAAGAGAGAGAGGAGGAAATCATGGGGAGGCAAGAGAAGAACTCCTGGGCAGGCCATGGCACACTGGCCCTGGGCTGGGGGCATAGTTGGCAAGTCTGGCAGGCATGGGAAAGGGTATACCTGGAAAGAGTATCCATGACGCTCAGGTTTGTGAGGTACTCGGGGTCCCTGAATAAATAACTCAGGCTCTCTGATCCTGAGGGCAAGTCCACAGAGAAGATAGAGCTGCAAAGGCAGACCAGAGCCAGACTGAAGGGGCATTTGAATGTCAGGTTGAGGAGGCCTGGCACAATCCTTACACAATAGGAGCATGAAGGACTACTGAAGGAAAGAACAGCAGGATGAGCACACAGCTTCAGGAAGACTCATCAGGGGCAGGAGTCGCGTAGGGAGTAGGAGACAGGTCAGGAGGCTGCCACAGAAGCCCAAAGACCTACATGAGGCTGGGGCCAGGCGAGGCAGAGCTGACTCAGAAGGAAGAGCCCCAAAGACCAGGGGGATAAGGTTCAGAAAGAAATAGACTGTGGCCTACAGTAGTAACCAATGCGAGTGACCAATGTGACAAGCCTCCAGGAAGCCACTGGGGCCCACTGAGAGATAGGTAAGGAGAGAGAATGAGATGAGGAGGTGAAGGCTGAAGGAGCAATCTTCAGGGAATCCTGGAGAATGTTCTAGTTAGGGGATATATTTTGAAAAGAGAGGAAGGTGCCAGATGACTAAAAACAGGAAAAACTGGGAAGGAAAAGATGATGAGCTACCCTCAGATAGGATAACATATCATGATAATGCAACATGGCCAAGTGGGGTTTATCCCAGGAATGGAAGGCTGGTTCAACTTTGAAAAATCAATGTAACATATTAACAGACTGAATAGAAAAACCATATGGTTATTTCAATAGTTACTGAAAAAGTGTATGAAAAAATTCAACATCAAGGCAAGATTAAAAAAGAAAAACTCAACAAATTAGGAATGGAAGAGACACTCCTCAAACTGATCAATGGCGTATACAAAAACCTACAGCTAACATCATACTTAATAGAGAAAGACTAAATGTTTCTGTTAAGACCAGGAACAAAGTAAGGTCGACCCCTTCCTCACTTTTATTCAGCATGGTACTGGAGGTTCTAGACTATGCAATAAGATAAGAAAAAGAAATAAAAGGCATACAGATTGGAAAGGAAAAAATAAAACTGTCTTTTTGTCACCTGCATGCAGGTGACGTGCAGAAAATCCCCCCAAATTCTACAAAACAGCTACCAGAATTAATAAGCAAGTTTAAAAATACAAGAATACAAGATCACAGGATACTAGTTCAATATATAAAAAGCAACTGTATTTCTATATGTAAGCAATAAATAATCTGACATGAAATTTTTGAAGTACCATTTAAATATCACCAAAGCTATGAAATATCTGTGTATAAACCTAACAAAAAACACACAAACCTGTTCACTGAATACTATAAAACACTGATGAAAGAAAAAAAAAAAAGACCTGAATAAATGGATATACCATATTCATATATTTGGAAAACTCAATATTGTTCAGATGTCAATTCTCTCCAAACTGATGTAGAGATGCAACACAATCATAATCAAAATCCAAGCAGGATTTTTTTTTAAAGATTTTATTTATTTATTTGACAGAGAGAGAGCGAGAGCAGGAACACAAGCAGGGGGAGTGGGAGAGGGAGAAGCAGGCTTCCC